AAGGGCTTCCACCTGGACAGTTTGAACATTGGAAAAAGAATGCAACTGATTGTAACACATTGACTAAGTAAAAATCCATGAGTGTAGAGTGATACCAAGATACAAGGAGAATGAAGACAGAAGGCCAGCTAAGAAATAGAAAAGTAATGACAATTATCAAAATTATTGTTATGTAACCCCCAGTGTAAGTCTTAAATGTAAACTTTTTCACAGTAAAAGGATGGGAGGAAACAACTATATTAAGAGAAAAAAAAGGCAGTGTTTTTGGTTCCTGTGAAGCTTAAGTGTTTCATTATTTGATGGAAATCTCAGTCATGTTTTTGTAACCAAATCTGCTGGTACCACTTGAATTCTCAAGACTAGTCTTTTGATACTATGAATATTACAGGGTTATTTTTTTATTATTATTTTTTCAGTTGCAAGATTTAATAGAGTGAAAACAGAGCTCCCATACAAAGGGAGGTACAGGGTTATTATATAAAGTAAGTAATTATTTCCAAGGAAAGCTTGTTATTTCAGTGGTTTTCCTAGATTGAGATTCACTTTCTTTTTCTGAGTCCCCATCATGGGCCGGACACTGTGCTAGCCATTTCTACATGTATTACCTCACTTCTTTCTTAGCATAACGCTGAGAATTAGGTCAGATGAGGTGACTGAAGCTCAGAGAGGTCAGATACTGTGTCCAATGGCAAGCATCAGTAAGTGTGAAAATGAGGGTTCAAGACCAAGTCTTCTGGGCCCCAAGTCCTTTCCCTTCTCCTAGCTCTTGTTCTGTCCCATGGATTAGCTCAGCAAGTAGCTTGTTGAAAACAAGGGGCTTGTTTTCAGGGTCTGTGAGAGAGGAAGGCATGAAAATACAAAGGTGGAACCAAGGAAGACCAGAGAGAGAGAAGAGCTACTTAGATGTCTCACAATAGTGTACATTTTAATTAAATTACATGCTTGGAGGAAATGTTCCTGAGTAGGTAAAAGCTGATATTTTGTTCTATTGGAAAAAAAAGTGAGCTAGAAGAAAACATAATTTGCTTCTTTTTTTCTCTCATATCAGAGGGAAGAGAGAAGACATTTATAGTTTCTAAAATACCCTTAGTAGTATAATTCTGTCATACTTAATATGTAAATGACTAGATCAAGGAGGAAGAGGGACATGACTGCTTTTGGTACAAGGCAGAGGTCACACTAGCTTCTCCTGGAAAACTGACCTGGGCTCCAATTGTACTCATGGTAGAAAATCTCAGGAGGCCACTGCAGTCAGCGGTGTTAACACTCAGGAGGCCACTGCAGTCAGCGGTGTTAACACTCAGGAGGCCACTGCAGTCAGCGGTGTTAACACTCAGGAGGCCACTGCAGTCAGCGGTGTTAACACTTTTAGCCTTGTTTAATTTTTTAAAAACAAAACACCTAGGAATCAATTAACCAAAGTGCAATATATGTACAAGGAAAACTATCAAACACTGATGAAAGAACTTGAAGAGGACACAAAAAAATGAAAGGGTATTCCATGCTTATGGTTTGGAAGAATTAGTATTGTTAAAGTGCCAATACTACCCAAAGCAATTTACAGATTCAATGCAATCCTCTTAAAATATCAATGACATTCTTCACAGAAATACAAAAGAAAAAAAAAAGAAAAAAATTCATAAAATTTATATGGAACCACAAAAGACTCTGAGTAGCCAAAGCAATCCTGAGCAAAAAGAACAAGAGGAAGTATCACACTACCTGACTTCAAAATATACTACAGAGTAACCAAATCAGCAGGATACTCACATCAAAACAGACACATAGACCAGTGGAGCAGATTAGAAGATCGAGATATAAATCTATGCATTTGCAGCCAAAAAAGGTGCCAAGAACATACAATGGAGAAAGAATGGTCCCCTCAAAAAAAATTGTGCTGGGGCCAGGTGCTGTGGCTCATGCCTATCATTCTAACCCTTTGGGAGGCTGAGTCAAGAGGATCACTTGAGGCTAGGAGTTTGAGACCAGCCTGGGCAACATGGCAAGACTCTATCTCTCCAAAAAAAAAATTAGCCAAGTGTGGTGGCTTGTGCCTGTAGTCCCAGCTACTAGGGAGGCTGAGGTGGGAGGATCACTTGAGCCCAGGAGTTCAAGTCTGCAGTGAACTGTGATCATGCCACTGGACTCCAGCCTGGGCAATAGAGTGAGACCCTGTCTCAAAAAAAATTGTGCTGGTAAACCTGGTTAACCATATACAGAAAAATGAAAGACCCATATGTCTTACTACATATAAAAATCAAATCGAAATGGATGAAAGACTTAAGTCTAAGACCTGAAACTGTGAAACTACTAGCAGAAAATGTTGGAGAAATGCTCCAGGACATTGGTCTGGGCAAAGATTTTTTGTATGTAAGGCCTCAAAAGCACAGACAGCCAAAGGAAAAATAGACAAATGGGATTACGTCAAACTAAAAAGCTCCTGTTGCACAGCAAAAGAACAGTCAACAAAGAGATAACCCACAGAATGGGAGAAAATACTTGCAATACTTGCAGATTAATCCATCTGACAAGGGATTAGTCACCAGAATTTGTAAGGAGCTCAAACAACTCAATAGCAAAAGCCCAAATAATCCAATTTAAAAGTGGGCGAAAGATCTGAATAGACATTTCTCAAAAGAAGACATACAGATGGCCAACAGGCATATGAAAATGTGCTCAACATCATTGATCATCAGAGAAATACAAATCAAAACCACAATGAGACATTTCACCCGAGTTAGAATGGCTTTTATCAAAAAGACAGGAATAACAGAGGCTGGCTGCTGGGCACGGTGGCTCACACCTGTAATCCTAGTACTTTGGGAGGCTGAGGCAGGTGGATTACCTGAGGTCAGGAGTTCAAGACCAGCCTGGCCAACACGGTGAAACCCCCGTCTCTACTAAAAATACAAAAATTAGCTGGGCATGGTGGCAGGTGCCTGTAATCCCAGGTACTCAGGAGGCTGAGGCAGGAGAATCGCTCAAACCCGCAGGGCCGAGGTTGCAGTGAGCCAAGATTGCACCACTTCACTCCAGCCTGGGCGAAAGAGCAAAACTCTGTCTCGAAAACAACAACATCCAACCTGGTCTACAGAGCGAGACTCCGTCTCAAAAAAACAAAACAAAACCACCAAACAAAACAGAGGCTGGCCAGGATGTGGAGAAAGGGGAACCCTGGTATACTGTTGGTGGGAATGTAAATTAGTACAGTCAAAATGGAAAACAGTATGGAGGTTCTTCAAAAATAAAATAAAACTAACCACTTTGGGAGGCCGGGACAGGCGGATCACGAGGTCAGGAGATCGAGACCATCCTGGCTAACACGGTGGAACCCTGTCTCTACTAAAAAATACAAAAAAACTAGCCGGGCGAGGTGGCGGGCGCCTGTAGTCCCAGCTACTCAGGAGGCTGAGGCAGGAGAATGGCGTAAACCCGGGAGGCAGAGCTTGCAGTGAGCTGAGATCCGGCCACTGCACTCCAGCCCGGGCGACAGAGCGAGACTCCGTCTCAAAAAATAAATAAATAAAACTACCATATGATCCACTACTGGATATATATTCAAAAGAAAGGAAATCAGTATATCAAAGAGATATCTGTACTTCCACGCTTATTGCAGCACTGTTCACAATGGCCAAATATGGAATCAGCTGAAGTGTCCATCAGTGCAGATGTGAGCCACCGTGCCTGGCCCTCTTTGTTGTATACTTTCATCTTTATTGACTAGTTCCCTCTTTTAAGTTTCCAATGAATAGAAAAAAAATGGATAATGGATAAAGAAAATTTTATGTTTGTGTGTATATATATATAATATGTATACAATTTTATGTATGTGTATATAATACATATACACATACACACACATTGAAATATTATTCAGCCATAAAAAGAATGAAATCCTGTCATTTGCAGCAGCATGGATGGAACTAGAAGACATGTAAGTGAAATAAACTAAGCACAAAAAGACAAAGATTGCATGTTCTCACTTACATATGGAAGCTAAAATAGTGGATCTCATGAAGATGGAGAGTAGGTTGGTGGTTATCAGAGGCTGGGAAGGTAGGAGGGAGAGGGGGATAAAAAGAGGTTGATTAATGGGTACAAATATACACTTAGAAGAAATAAGACTTGGTGTTCAGTAGATCAGGAGGGTGTCTGTAGTTGACACTAATCTCTCGTATGTTTCAAAATAGCTAGAAGAGAATAATTCAGCCTAAAGAAAAGAGAGATATTTAAGATAATTACCCGGACTGGTTGCTGTGGTCCATGCCTGTATTCCCAGCATATTGGGAGGCTGAGACAGGAGGATGGCTTGAGCCAAGGAGTTCGAGACCAGCTTGGCCAACATGGCGAAACATGGTCTCTACTAAGAATACAAAAATTAGCCAGGCGTGGTGGCATGTGCATGTAATCCCAGCTATGCAGGAAGCTGAGGCAGGAGAATCGCTTGAACCTGGGAGGTGGAGGTTGCAGTAAGCCAAGATTGCGCCACTGCACTCCAGCTTGGGTGACAAAGTGAGACTCTCTCTGGATGTGATTGTATGAATGTATCAAATTATCACATGTACTCCCAAAATGTGTTCCCTAATAGGTATCAATTAAAAAATAAAATTAAAAATGTATTTTTACATATGTATGAATTTTGTGAGTGCTCAGGAGCTAACTGGCTGATTTGATAGAAAACATACTTCTCTATGTCTTTACACTTGGGTAGCCATTTTCTCAAAGGTGTTCTATGGAAGTTCTGGCTGCAAACTTGGTCTCATTCAAGAGCCAACTGCCAATGAAGCCCTGCTAGGGCATTCTGCTTGTTTCCAGTGTCTTTTGATCACTTACTTCCCGAGGTTGATGTTTTGAAAGTGGATATTAGAACCAAATTTCAGAGTTTCTGAGCTTTGTCTTCATTCTGATTTAAAAGAAGTGAATTCTCTTGCTTTTCACCTATGTGGTTTTTTAAATCTTAGGAACAATCATTCTGAAAGTGGTTTCCTTTTTCCCTGCAGACAAGGCGCCTCTGTCGAAGAGCCTTCTGCTGGTCCCCAGTGCCCTCTCCCTCCTGCTAGCCCTCCTCCTGCCTCACTGCCAGAAGCTGTTTGTGTATGACCTCCACGCAGTCAAGAACGACTTCCAGGTGAGCTCTGCCTCATTGGCCCCTTGGAGGAGAGAGGACAGTTTTTTTTTCTAGATTTGTTTTTTCTTCCTAGATTTGCTTTTCTTCCTGCTATTAGTTCCTCAAAGCCCCCAGTTTGTAAGAAATATTTATTATTAATATTTCATTAAGTAACTTTTCTAGTTGTATTTATTGATTTTTCAGCAAAGCAGATAATAATGAAGCAATGGCAGTATTTCCTTTTATTAGGCACATTTGTTTTCAGTTTCACTTTTTACTCAGAGAAGTGCAACTTATAACTTCAAGGGAATTAAAAACAATGTTAAATCTTTTTTTTAATGCCCAGTATGCATACTTAGCTTTGCCAAAACCTTGTCTCAATTTGAATATTTGATTAGAGGAGCTAGGCTCTGTCAGCTGTATCAGATTATGAATTTATGATAACTTTTACAGTGGTGGTTAAATGAAGTGAGAGATTTCTCTTGAGTTTCTGCTGTGGGAAAGAGCAGAAGTGCTTTTCAAGGTTTCTGGACTGATCTTGTTGAAAACGCTGGTGCTGGCTTCTTGTCTATGAATTGGAGTGTTAGTGCACATTCTGGTGTATGACTGCCACCCTTTCTTTGCTAAACACTTGGTTAGCCCATTTAAAGCATAATAATCCATTTCTTGAACACTGACACCTTTTCTTCATAGTCATGTAATTAATACCATTGCTCAGATTGGCTTCACCAACTTCCTGTGCAGGTCTTTCAGTTATTTATCTGTATTACTCATTTGTCAGAAGGTAGTATAGCTTCTGTATTATTTCAGTTGCTATAAGTCGTTCTCAACTCTGGACACACATTAGAATCACCTGGAAAAACTTGAGAGCTCTGTCTGCATATCTATACTTATGTGAAGGTATAATTTATACCTAGGTTTACATAAACCCACTATCTCACCCCAGAACAACTGAGTCACAGAGTCTGGTGGTGGTACCTGGGCATTGCTGTACATTTAAAAACAACCCCCTGGGGATTCTAGTGTATGGCTGGCTTTGAGGACCACTGATGTAAGGGCCCCCGGGCCTTGAGTTGATACCTTCCTAATTTCTGGAGTTAATTGGGTTCGTTTGGCTAAGCCCACTCTGTGGACGGACATCTGTGCTTTAAAGGTGGTGACCTGCTTGGATGGAAGAGGACCACCCTTCTGTCCAGGAATGGGAATAGCCACATCCACATTAACACTGTTAAAACACCTAAGAGGCTGTCGGTGTGTATTCATGAGAGATATGGGAGTTTTAGTTCTGCCTTGGGAAATCTAAACACACACATACATATAAGAACGTGATTCTGTAGGTCACAGGTGTACATGACATCCTTGGGGGGTGATAAAGGAAGTAGGGACCAGTATTGGGGGAATACCTCTGGAGAGTCTTAGGGATGTGAGCTTTCAGTTTGGTCTGAAAGAAGGGATAAATGTTAATTAGCAATGAAGAGAAGGAAGGGCATTTTACTTCAGGAAGTAATATGAATTTCAAACCTTTAGGAGTGTGGTATAGGAAGCATACTTTGAGGCAAACCCAGGCTTTGAGGCAAACCCAGAGTTAGATTGGAGAAGTCCAGGAGGTCTCAGATAATGAAGGGCTTTATTTTGTAAGTTCTGAACCTCCAGATTTTGGCAATTAATGCAGAGGTACAGTCAGGTTTCTTTAGGTTGAGTTGCAGAAGCAGTGCTTTGCTGAGTGCAAGCGTGTAGCCAGTTACCAGTCTTTAGGGGACATTCACCTGTATAATAATATGCAGTAGTTTATTCTTATACCTGCTCTCATAATTTTGTGTCCTTGAGCATCATTGCAACACATAAATTGTTTAAAACTGTAGCTAGCAGCTTTATTTTCATTAACTGAAGAAAAATGGGGTTCGGGAAATGCAGTTTGTTGTATCTTAGTAATTACAAAGTTTCAATTTCCTTAATCCCCAGATTTTCTTAGTAGCTCTCAGAGCTTATGCCTGAGTAGAGTATTTTCATTGTAATATTAAATGTGGTGATAGAGGACTTGGAGCAGCCTCTTACGGTTTTTGAATCTGGTGTTCTGTAGAGATGACAGTCATCATCATCTGCCATTGGTAAAGTACTTGACAGTTTCCTTTGTGCTCTCATGTGTACTGCCTCATTGATCATATTGATAGAGGTATATGCTGCCTAAAGTTTCAGTGTGACTCTGGTACTGTTTCTCCTTGAGCCCAGCTATGGCCTCAACACAGCCTTGTAGGCAGCCATCCCCAGGTCAGCTGGGCTGGCAGGTGAGATGAACTCTGGTGGCCAGTACAGTCACGACAAAGACTCTTCCTGGTGTCTTGCTTGGAGTAGAGACATATGTGAAATGTTTTGACAGTTGATATGGTCAGACTTCTCATTTGTATTCTTATTTCTCTTGGCAAGAGCACAGGTTGTATGACTTTAGACAGATAGTTTCTCTGTGCCTCTTCTTCCTTAAGACAGTTGGCTGGGTGTGGTGGTTCACACCTGTAATCTCAGCACCTTGGGAGGCCAAGGCTTGCGGATGGATTGCTTGAGCCCAGGAGTTCAAGACCAGCCTGGGCAACGTGGCAAAGCACCATCTCTACAAAAAATACAAAAATTAGGCGGGTGTGGTGGTGCACACCTGTAGTCCCAGCTACTCAGGAGGCTAAGGTGCGAGTATTGAATCAGTCCAGAGGGTTGAGCCTGCAGTGAGATGTGATCACGTCAGTGCGCTACAGCCTGGGCAACAGAGTGAGACCCTGTCTCAAAAAAAAAAGAAAAGAGCTAATATTACCAATGTTCGCAGCAGCATTATTCACAATAGCAAAAAAGTAGAAACCCAAATGCCTATTAACAGATAAATGGATAAACAAAATGCAGTGTATACATACCATAGAATATTATTCAACTATAAATGAGAATGAGATTGATACATGCTTTACCATGAACCTTGAAAATACTATGCAAAGTGAAATGAGCAAATGCAAAAGGACAAATATGTGATCTTATTTACATGAGGTATCTAGTATAAGCAAATTCATAGAGACGTTAAGTAGAATAGTGTTTCCTGGGGCTATGGGGAGAGGGAACAGGAAGTTAGCATGGCGTTTCTGTCTAGGATGATGAAGAGTTCTGGAAATAGATAGTGGTGATGATTGTACAGTATTGTGAATTTGCTTAATACCACCGAATTGTATACTCAGTAGTTAAAATTATAACTTTTGTATCTGTTTTACCACAATAAAAATACAAAGAAAAGTTGTCATTAATATTTGTTTTACCTATCTTATAAGGTCATCGTGAAGGGGAAATAAGATTAGGATGTTTTCAAATGTCATTGGGATTATCTTTAAAAATCTGAAAAATGTTTAAGCAGACTCAAAAATAGGCCTTTGAGTAGCTCTTCTTTTTTTTTTTTGTATGTCCCCTTATATGTTTTTATGCAACTAGAAGTTGGGTGAAACAATGATTTAAATAAACTAATATTTCAAACCTAGTCATATTTAGCAACAGTTGCCATAAGTTACTTTGCATAGTTGCTCTGAAGTAGGTTGATGATTAAAATTAAGCTCAGAAATGTGTATTTTTGAGTTTATACCTAAGTTGTTTTTCAGTTACACCTTTGTCTTATTCAATAGCATAAAAATGAACATTTGTTAGCCTTTCATTCTAGCTTACGTATGTAATTTTTAAAAATCTTACTAAACACAATCCTAAAATTTCTTATAGACAGTTTTCTGTTATCTTAATGAGAATATGTTTTCTTATAAGCACAAAAAAATTCAAGTACCTTTTGTGCCACTGTTGGAAGGAATTTTTACTGTGAGAGACTTGAGCTCAGAGAACATACATGTATAATTTTCCTTTTGTGTGTGCATTATGATTTTGTTTAGACTATTAAAAATAGACAGTGTAAACATAACAAATTTGCTAAGGAAGAGATCCGAACAAATTTTACTCTCGTTTGTTGTTCTTTTTTAAATCCCCATCTAGATTTGGAGGTTGATATGTGGAAGAATAATTTGCCTTGATTTGAAAGATACTTTCTGCAGTAGTCTGCTTATTTATAATTTTAGGATATTTGAAAGAAGATATGGAAGCAGAAAATTTGCCGTAAGTTTTTATGTATTTTGTCTTTGCCACTTAGGCTATAGAAAAAAATTTTGTTTAAATGGATTTTATTTTGTTAAACTTGGTGTTATTATTTACAGTTATTTTTAAAATTATACTATTCTGTATCTGATTTGAGGCATATGGACATTAACCAAAGAAAATTTTAGAATAGCATAATAATAATAGTGATAATGATAATATATAGTATTAGTTGTGAACAGCTAATACAAATTTTAATACTTTGACTTTAATAAAATTGTAATTTATTTTGCTTAGTGGTTTGTGTTTTACTTGTTAAAAATATATCTTCAACATACTTAAAAATTATGGATGTTAATACATTTGAGGGATATGGGTTTACTCTGCCGATTTTCAAAAGTCTGTTTTAATAAAAACAATTAATTTTGAATATATATACACACATAAGTATGTGTATACACACACACACACACACACACACACACATACATACAAATACATACCTCTGAGCTGATTCTAGCTGAATAAATGTTACTTTATTTTTAGGAGACTCATCTCTATAATTTTTCTGCTGTTTTATCTTGTAGTCCTTTTTGCTGGGTTCCTGGGTTTTGTCAGCCTTATTTGACTTTCTCCTCGTCGAAGCTATGCAGTATTTCTTTGGCATCACTGCAGCTAGTAATTTGCCTTCTGGATTGTAAGTAGCACTTAAAGATTGACTTAATTTAGAACGACTTGAATGTGATTTAAAGTGTTATTATATGTGAAAGTCAGTAAAAGAATATTTTAAACTTTTAGATATAGTAAAATTGATTTTATATGTAAAAAGTCTAATCTATGCCTACGTTTTTATTATGTTCTTGAAATAGAATCAATTTTATATTCTGTCTTTAAAATTTATTTTACTTTTTTTTTTTGAGGCAGAGTCTTGCTCTGTCACCCAGGCTGGAGTGCATTGGTGTGATCTCGGCTCACTACAAGCTCCACCTCCCGGGTTCAAGTGATTCTCCTGCCTTAGCCTCCCAAGTAGCTGGGACTACAGGTGCGTGCCACCACGCCAGCTAATTTTTGTAGTTTTTAGTAGAGATGGGGTTTCATCATGTTGGCCAGGCTGGTCTCAAACTCCTGACCTCAGGTGATCCATCCTCCTTGGCCTCCCAGAGTGCTTGAGCCACCATGTGAGCCACCGCGCCCAGCCACATTCATTTTTTAGCTTTGAAATTTTGTGTTTTAGAGAATTTTAAATGAATTTCCTATTCTGATCCTGATAGAATTAGTTTTGTGTGTTTTTATAATGAAATTTGTCTTTGTAATTTTATGAACTAAACACAAAAATATAGTTTAATTAGATTAGGAAACAAAATTAATTTGTATGAAGTTAAACTTCTGCAGAATAATTTTTAAAAGCTGATAATGTTTTATACATTTCCGTCAAACATAAAACAAAGCCAGTGTATGGGTTATAACTTTGTAGACAACCTGCAGTGGCCAGCTCACTCAGAATTTGTATGCTTTCATATTGCGTTGATCTTCTTTAAAAAAAAAAAAAATCACGTATTAGTGTGTGAAATAACTAGAATCTAGGAGCAGAGTTGATAGAGCGAGACTCTATCTCAAACAAACAAACAAACAAACAAACAGGGCAGGCGCGGTAACAGCCCGTAATTGATGGTAGCAAAGCTTCAAATACGGGCTTGCGCCTGTAATGCCAGCACTTTGGGGAGGCTGAGGTGGGCGGATCATGAGGTCAGGAGTTCGAGACCAGCCTTGTCAATATGGTGAAACCCCGTCTCTACTAAAAATACAAAAATTAGTCAGGCATGGTGGCGGGCACCTGTAGTCCCAGCTGCTCAGGAGGCTGAGGAAGAATCGCTTGAACCTGGGAGGCAGTTTCAGTGAGCTGAGATCACACCACTGCACTTCAGCCTGGGCGAAAGAGTGAGACTGTCTCAAAAAACAAACCCCCCCCCCCAAAAAACCATGTATTAGTGTGTGAAATAATTAGAATCTAGGAGCAGAGTTGTTAGCACATGTAAATGACCTCCAGGCATCTGAATGAAGTATCTGAGACACTATTTGGGAAATGAGATAGTATGAAATATAGATACCAGATATTTAAAATTCTGTGTGTACTATCTTCAGTCTTCTTTTAATTTTAAATATGTGTTTTGAGAACTATTAAGCTACTGTGTGTATCTTGATTCAAATTCACTTTGGATCCCTATTTTAAAATTATAATTAGTGTTCTAATAGCTTTCATACCTGCGTTGTTAATATTTACAGTGTAACTCCCTTTTGTGAATTATAATTGCTGTGAATATCCATGAATGTTGACCTTTAGCTGTTTTAATAATGTATGATTCTGAATAATGTTTGAATGGAGACGTAAAGTTCTGTGTCATAATTAGCGTGAAGTTTGAATTCCACAGGTGGTCATTGTAATTAGACTGAGAAGTTAAAGTTGAGTATTCTGTTATTGGGGAAAATTGTGTAGACATCAGGAATGATTCCACGTTGACTCAAGGAAGCAGCAGCATTACTAAATCATAATTTTCCCCCAAAACATCTCCTATCAGGCCAGTTCTTTTTGGTTTCCTGTATAGCCTGCTGAGTGATGGGAGGTATGTGTGTCTGTGTTAGAATGAACTTTGGAGATGGATAGTAACTTAGCATTAATTCTTATTTACACTATCTCCCTGTCTTCTTTTTCCTGCTGCATGTAGAGTTGAATGACAGTAGAACTTTCATATTCATTTATTTAATTATGGAATCCTATTAACTTGTGCATAAAAAGAAGATTGATTCAATTTTGAAGTTGGCGGGAATATTTTTGCTTACTCTCAGAAAAGGGAAGGGATTTACCTACTTAAATCTCAGTTTGTAGCAAGAGTTACAAACTTGAATAAGTTGAAAAGTTATAGCATCCCCTTTGAAAGACACTATAAATGGTAATTCAGCCATCTCCTGAATAAGAATATGTTTCTCTTCCTTTTCAAGTCACAAACATTATAGTATATAGTATAACTTTTTTAAATCTTGAGGCTTTCTCAAACATAGACTTTTTGGAACACAATTAGTTCAACAAGTAAACTTTGTATTCTGTAAATATATCTCTTAAAAAACATTTTTATTAGTATTACTTTTTGGTAGAGAAAAGGTTTTGCTATGTTGTCTAGGCTGATCTTGAATTCCTGGGCTCAAGTGATCCTCCTTTCTTGGCCTCCCAAAGTGCTGGGATTGCAGGTGTGAGCCATTGTACCCAGCCACAAATATATCTTTTATTGATGATAGCAAAGCTTCAAAAACTACAGAGAGGAAACTACTGGTTTTTTTTTTTTCTTCAAATCAGTGTACTTCATGGACACAGGGAGGGGAACATCACACACTGGGGGCTGTCTGTGGGTGGGGGGCAAGGAGAGGGAGAGCATTAGGACAAATACCTAACGCATGCGAGGCTTCAAACTTGGATGACGGGTCAATAGGTGCAGCAAACCACCATGGCACATGTATACCTCTGTAACAAACCTGCACATTCTGCACATGTATTCTGGAACTTAAAGTAAAATAAAAATATGTGCTTTACAGCTTTCAGTGTTTTTCGCCTAACATCTAATATTTTTCTTTCCCATCAGTACCAAATTTGTCTGCACTCTTCTACAGTTCTTTACTTCCTATTTAATTCTCTCTTTTTTTTCTTCTTCACCTCACCACTACAGGAACTTCTCTTATAAAGGTCACCAGTGGCCACCTAATTTCTAAAGCCACTGGCCATCTTCTTTAACCTTTCAGTATCACATTAAATGCTTTTAACCTCTCCCTATTTCATGAAACCACCTGCTCTCTTGAGTCCCACACGCTACTCCCTGCTAGTTCTTTTTGACCTTAGTTACTGCGTGCAGCTCTTTTCTCAAACTTTTTGGGCTATCTTGTGCACTTTCTTGATTTCAACTACAGTGAACATGTATTGTTTGCTTCCAAGCTCTCTATTTCCAACCCACACTACTCTCTTATTCTGTTGCCCAGGCCTGGAGTACAGTGGTGAGATCATAGCTCACTGTAACCTCAAACTCCTGGGTTCAAGCAGTCCTCCTAGCTCAGCCTTCTGAGTAGCTGTGACTATAGGTGTGCCACCATGCCCAGCTAATTTTTTTTTTTTTTTTGAGACAGAGTTTCACTCTTGCCGCCCAGGCTGCAGTGCAATGGCGCGATCTCTGCTCACTGCAACCTCTGCCTCCCTGGTTCAAGCGATTCTCCTGCCTCAGCCTCCTGAGTGGCTGGGTTTGCCACCATGCCTGGCTAATTTTTTTGTATTTTTAATAGGACAGGGTTTCACCGTATTGGTCAGGCCGGTCATGAACTCCTGACATCAGGTGATCCACCCTGCCTTGGCCTCCCCAAGTGCTGGGATTATAGGCATGAGCCACCATGTCCGGCCATTTTTTTTTTTTTTTTTGGTTTGTTTGTGTTTCTTTTTTTTTGTAGAGATGGGGTCTTGTTATTTTGCCCAGGCTGATCTCAAACTTCTGGCCTCCAGTGATCCTCCCGCCTTGGCCTTCCAAAGTGCTGGGATTATAGGCATGACCACCATGTCTGGTCTAGAGTCTTATTTCCTAATGATTTATAGACTCAAAGAAAACTCATTGTTCAGAAGCTCTCTTCTCTTCTGGCCTCCTCTCTATCCTCTTCCCCTCTTTCTTCTTAATTTAGTTAGTAGCATCTCCTCAGAGTCATGCAAGCTGGAAATCTTTCATTTTGCTTGTCAATGGGGTAGGTCACTGAGTCTTAGTTTTTATTTTTTGAAATTTGAACTTTCAGATTCAAGGGGTACACATGAAGGTTTGTTATATGAGTATATTGCATAATGCTGAGGTTTGGGGTACATATGGTCCCGTCACCCAGGTAGTGAGCGTAGTTTCCAGTAGTTAGTTTTTCAACCCTTGCTCCCTTCCCTTCTTCCCCCTCTAATAGTCCTCTGTGTCTATTGCTGTCATCTTGATGTCCATGTGTACCCAGTGTTTAGCTCCCACTTTTAAGTGAGTTCATGTGGTATTTGGTTTTCTGTTCCTGCATTAATTTATTTAGGATAATGGCCTCCAACTGCATCCATGTTGCTGCAAAGGACATGATTTCATTCTTTTTTATGGCTGCATCATATTCCATGGTGCGTATGTACCATATTTTCTTTATCCAGTCCATTGTTGATGGGCACTCAGGTTGATTCCATGTCTTTGCTATTGTGAATAGTTCTGCGATGAACATGTGAGTGCATGTGTCTTTTTGGTAGAATGATTTATTTTCTTCTGGCTATGTACTCAGCAGTTGGATCATTGGGTTGAATGGTAGTCCTGTTTTAAGTTCTTTGAGAAATCTCCAAACTGCTTTCCATAGTGGCTGAACTAATTGACATTCCCACCAACAGTGTATAAGAGTTCCCTTTTCTCACTTATATACAACAGTGTATAAGTTTCCCTTTTCTTCCCAGATCTCCCCAGCATCTGTTGTTTTTTTGGCTTTTTAGTAGCCATTCTGACTGGTGTGAGATGGTATCTCATTGTGGTTTTGATTTGCATTTGTCTGATGATTACCGTTGAGCATTTTTTCTTGTGTGTTGGCCGCTTGTGTGTCTTGACAAGTATCTGTTTGTGTCTTTTGCCCACTTTTTAATGGGGTTGTTTTGTGCTTGTTGAATCAAGTTCCTTATAGATTCTGGATATTAGACCTTTGTCAGATGCAGTTTGTGAGCATTTTCTCCCTTTTTATAGGTTGTTTGTTTACTCCGTTGATAGTTTATTTTGCTGTGCAGAAGCTCTTTAGTTTAAATGGGTCCCGTTTGTCAATTTTTGTTTTCATTGTAATTGCTTTTGAGGACTTAGTCACAAATTCTTTCCCAAGGCCGATGTCCAGAGTGGTGTTTCCTAGGTTTTCTTCTAGGATTCTTATAGTTTGAGGTCTTACATTTGTATCTTTAATCCATCTTGAGTTAATTTTTGTATGTGGTGCAAGTTAGGGGTACAGTTTCATTCTTCTGCATATGACTAGCCAGCTATCCTAGCACCATTAATTGAATAGGGAATCCTTTCACCACTGTTTATTTTTGTGAACTTTGTTGAAGGTCAGATGGCTGTAGGTGTGAGGCTTTATTTCTGGGTTCTCTATTCTGTTCCACTGGTCTATATGTCTGTTTTTGTACCAGTACCACGCTGTTTTGCTTACTGTAGCCTTATAGTCTGAAGTCGGGTAATGTGATGCCTCTGGCTTTGTTTTTTTCTTTTCTTTTCTTTTTTGCTTAGGATTGCCTTGGCTATTTGGGCTCTTTTTTTGGTTCTATATGAATTTTAGAATAATTTTTTCTAATTCTGTGAAAAATGACATTGTAGTTTGCTAGGAATAGCCTTGAATCTGTAGATTGCTTTGGACAGTATGGCCATTTTAATGATATCAGTTGTTTCAGTCCATGAGAATAGAATGCTTTTTCCATTTGTTTGTGTCATCTTTGATTTTTTTTCTTTTTTCTTTTTTCTTTTTTTGAGACGGAGTCTCACTCTGTCACGCAGGCTGGAGTGCAGTGGTGTGATCTTGGCTCACTGCAGCCTCCGCGTCCCAGGTTCAAGCGATTTTCCTGCCTCAGCCTCCTGAGTAGTTGGGACTACAGGCACGTGCAACCATGCCTGGGAATTTTTTTTTTTTTTTGTATTTTTTAGTAGAGACGGGTTTTCACTGTGCTAGCCAGAATGGTCTCGATCTCCTGACCTCATGATCAGCCTAGCCTGCCTTGGCCTCCCAAAGTGCTGGGATTATGGGCGTGAGCCACCACACCTGGCCATCTTTGATTTTTTCCAGCAATGTTTTGTAGTTCTTGTAGAGATCTTTTACCTTCATGCTTAGATGTATTCCTAGGTATCTTTGTGTGTGTGTGTGGCTGTTGTAAATGGGGTTTTGTTCTTGGTTTGACTCTCAGCTTGAACTAAGTTATTAGTGTATAGAAATACTACTACTGATCTTTCTTCATTGATTTGGTATCCTGAAACTCTAGAGAAGTTGTTTCTCAATTCCTGGAGCCTTTTGGCAGAGTCTTTAGGGTTTTCTAGGCAAAGAATCATATCGTCAGTAAAGGGAGATGGTTTGAGCTTTCCTGTTTGGATGCCTTTTCTTTCTTTCTCTTGCCTAGTTGCTCTGGCTAGGACTTCTGGCACTGAGTCTTAATAATTCAAAGTCCTGAATAACTCATTCATTCATCCCTTCTTCTCTATTTCTACTGTCATTGTTATCCCAGTCTCAACTCTTAAATCTTTTCTTGTCTACTTTTTTACAGTAATTCTCTAACTAGTTTCCCTGTGAATTTCAAAGCATTCCATACAATGCTGTCAGAAGGTATCTTTCTAAAATGCAGGCTTAACCACACTAGTTCTTTTAAAAACCCTCAAATTCTCATATCCATCAGAATAAAAGTCAGATTCCTCCAAGGTGCTATCCAGGCAGTCTGGAATAGTGGAAATAGCACAGTCTTTGCCATCAGACAGACCAGATTTGAGATTCCAGCTCTGCCACTTACTAGTTATGTGAAATCTTGAGCAAGTTACTTATCTCAAGCTCCATTTCCTGAGCTCAGTTTATAGATGACCCTCACATGTCAACGGTGGGTATTCTGTGCTTCAAAGGGTAGCCCCGAGAATTAAAGAAGCTCTCTTACATCAAGCTTCTAGAAACAAGCGTATACCCCTTCCATGTATTGTTTTTCTTAAGAGACAAGGTCCATGTTATCCAGGCTGGCCTTGAACTCCTAGGCTCAAGCCCAGTCCTCCCACCTGAGCCTCCTGAGTAGCTGGGATTATAGGCATGTGCTACCATGCCCAGCTCTTCTTTCCTTTCAGAGCCCTCCTCATCTGACCACCAGCTAGTCTCAAACCACTTTCCAAGTGGTCATCCAGCTTTCTTCGCTTGCTACGCATTTGCATTCTCATGCCTACTTGGTTTGCTTTCTGCTTCCTTTTGCCCTTTGGCAGGATTGCCCTTATATGTGTATTACAGCACATGTATTATCTCTATTAGTATTTATTATATTACCTTGTCATTGTCTGTGCCTCCTAGGCTACCCACTGACTCTTTAAGGGAGAACCAAGTTTCACTTTATGTGCTCATTGCCCTGCATTCAGTAATGGTGAAGGGCAAGCAAGCCTTGATTACAGTGTAGCCCCAGTAAGACTGTAAGGGAAGGCCTTTGAACCACAGACTTGTTCATTTCTTTTTCCAGTGCTTTGCATAGAAATTGTAGCTGACATATGATGGATGCTCATGACTATGATTTAAACTCAGACAATGTAACCGTTAGGTTTTGAAAGTAGAGATAACTCCATTATTAAAAGCCATATGTATTAGGCATTTCTAGTAACTCATTCCTGCCACACATCTGGCCTTATATACCTATTATTTTTTGTTAGTATTTATATGTGGATGTTACATTGTTTTCCAGAATACAGTGAAATTTTGAATTTTTACATATTATGTTAAAATATATTTGATTATTATGCTAAGTAAATTATTTTAAAAATAACTTTTAAGTGATCTACAATTAAATTATAATTTAGATTATTTACAATTTTATTGTGAGAATCACAGCATACATTTTCACTTTGTTGATTTTGTATCAGTAGAATCTTTTGTTGTGCTTTTTGCTTTGAGACTAAACTCTTCTTATCAAGACAAGCTCTGGCAGATAACTTTTCCATCTAACACATTTAAGAGTAGATTCATCTGTATGGTTGAGAGTAGGCTCTGACTATGTATATGTGTACAATAAACTTACATGTCAAATACAAGAGTTGTTTTTCTTGTTTTAGAAATAATTATATGTTAAATATATGTAAGATATATAAATAATATATAAAGATATAATATCTATAAAGATACTTATTTTATGTATATAAAGTATATAAAGATATGTATTTTAATCATTTGACTATTGAAACTAAAAACTTTGTATTTTTCTCTTTTTTGAGAAACTGCATCTCAGTACCACCTTATGTAGCTCTGAGAATGTTTAAGCATGTTTGCTTTTTATTATTGAAAAATTGGTGTTCGACATGAAAGAACTGACTTTGGTTTCTAGGTGTGGTTCTTTAGCTGAGTAAGTCACATAACCTCATCAGACCTCAGTTTTTTATATTTGGAACAGAAGAATTGTACTAAGAAGATTGTCTAAGGGACCGTCTAGTGCAAAAATGCCATTTTATGATTAGACTTTTTGTGTTTATTTATTTATTTTTAAATAATATGAATTTACCTATGTTATTTCTACAAATCAATTTCGTTTTTTTTTTGAGACAGAGTCTCACTCTGTTGCCTAGGCTGGAGTGCAATGGTGCGATCTTGGCTCACAGCAGCCTCCGCCTCCTGGGTTCAAGCTATTCTACTGCCTCAGCCTCCCAAGTAGCTGGGATTACAGGAATCTGCCATCATGTCTGGCTAATTTTTGTATTTTTAGTAGAGACAGGGTTTCACCATGTTGGCCAGGCTAATCTCGAACTCCTGACCTCAAGTGATCTGTCCACCTCAGCCTCCCAAAGTGCTGGGATTACAGGCGTGAGCCACCATGCCCAGCCAGAAATAAATTTCTAACCAATGCATATATTTGGTTCTAAGCCCCAGTAGGATATGATCATGTTAAGAATGATAAAGGTAATTTAGCAGAGACGAAGTTATAGTTGAATCATTTATTTTACTTCCATAAGTGTTAAGAATAATAGGGGCTTTACCGATTATACTTCAGTTTTTTTCTGTTAGATGGATAAGTTACTTGGTTTGTTACTTTATTAGGAGAAATTAAATGGCAAGGCTAAGAATCCAAGGTTCCCATAGTACTATTTATACTGTGACATATGGCCTGGGAAGAAAATCAATTAACCTCTTTTGTAAAAATGGGATCTTTAACCACATAAGAAGAACAAACTGTTTGTATTGGAGAATGGCATTTCACCATATAGTAGATAGATGATAGAAATGAACTTGGATTGTTGGATAGAAATAGCATCTCAGATTAGATTTTCATCATTAGTCCTAAATCGGGTTTGGTGCATAGTAGGCTCTCAGTGTTTGAATGACTATCCTCTGTTTTCAAAAGGATGAATTCAGAGTAGGGAAGGGCTGATGGGGATGGCCTTTACAGGCCCCTTGGGTTCTTGTTCCTGTTAATTTTACCTTGTAGTAAGTAACAGTAATGAGTTCAACATAATTTCTTATATAGGAATTCTGGAAGTCGGTGTTTGGGACATGAAATACTGGATTTATAATTCCATTCCTAGTGCAAATTAGACCTAAGGGAGCTGCATCTAAATAGAAAATAATTTAATCAAATTATTTTGTATGGTAGTTTGATTTCCCCCCTACTGACTTGATTAACATACATGTGTCACTTGCACATAGAAATGCAAAAAGTTAATTATCTGTGTAAATAAGGCTTGACTGTGAAAGACAAATCAGATGTTTTTCTCCGAATAATTCACAAAAATGTTTTATATAAGTTTTAAAAATGAAGATAATGAATTTATTTTTTTCAAGAGAAAAGGGACTTGATATATTTTACAGAATATCCATTGACGCCAGAGTAGTTAGTGAAGTGAATTTTGATGGGATTGAGATAAAGAACCTTTCTATTATTCATAACATTTCACTGTTTATATTGCTTAGTGACCGTAAACTACCAGATCGGAAACTTTTTCTGCGCATGCTTCGAAGGTAATTACGGTATAGCATGACACTAATGACTCGAGCCTGAAATTGTTTTGAAACGATGTAGTAGAGAATCACATCCAGACATGTGCTGAGGTTCATGAGGAAGGTGGTAAAGGCTCCCCAGGGACTATAACTGTTCTCCCCCGTTCCCAGCATCAGGAAAGCGAAACAGATGTGGAAGGGCATAAAGCAGACAAGCACCTGCACCAGCAGTGTGATGATGATCCTTATGGACTTCTCCTTGACTTTGGGTTTCAGCTTAGACGTCCTGCCATGAAGGAGATTATGAATAATGACCAAGTAGCACCCAATCATGATGAACAAGGGAATCAAGAAAAAAAATGTCAGTCGAGTGAAGTTTAGCACATTCACAGCTTTTAGATAGACGATGTCAGAAATCTTGAGGCAGGTGGCGGGGATGGAGTCTTTATCCGGGTCTTTATGGAGCAATAGCAGAGGGATGGTTGTGGTCAGGGTCATTATCCAGACTCCCACACACGCCAGCATGGCTTTGCACGTGTTTTTAAGTTCTTTGGCATACTTCGGCTGCACAATGGCCATGTATCTGTCGGCACTAATAAAGGCAAGAAGCCATAGAGCAATGCTTGGGTAAAACACTGTAAGAGCTCCAAGAATCTGGCAGAAGTACTCTCCAAATGGCCATTCATCTTTTGCATAATAAAACATTCGAAAGGGTAGAGTCATTATAAATATCAAATCCACTAATGCCACATTCATCATGTAGATGGTTACAGTGGTTCTCTTTTTGGTGGTACAACTGAAAACCCATAATGCAGTGATGTTAACAAATAATCCAATTATGAAGATACAGCTATAGAAGACAAGGGCTGCAATTTTGTATTCATCTGGATGTGAGTTGTTAAAAGGGACAGGTTGATCTTGATTGTTCAGGGTGATCATTTTACAGCTTGTTGGTGGGCATGATACTTAGAAACTGTAAAAATAGTTAAGAAAAATAAGAATAGTTAAGAAAAATAAGAATAAAATCCTCGGTTAAAAAACAAATGCTTAACATTCTCTCACTCAGCTTGACTGCCAGTGAATTTTGAGTTTGAGAGCATTTTATGTTAAACTCACTCCATGTGTCTTAGTATTTATTAAGGAATCCATTCCCTAGAGATTATTACTAATTTGTATTAATCTATTAAAATGATCCTGGTGTCATAATTCATTGGGCAAGTTCATTCATCTCTCTCCCTGCTCACTTCCCTTCTTCCTACAAGAATAACTATTTCTTTACAATTTTTTCCTATAGTGTGAAATTAGGTAGCAGTTGTTCCTGTAATAAGTGTCCTTTAATTTGGACTAATTGGGAAAAGGTGATTCTGAATTTTGACTCTTAATACAATTGTTTGCCACTTTTTATCATCTTCATTCTGTTAAAATATTTTGCAACCAGATGAGTAATGTCCAAATAATGTATTCTTGTTCATTAAACACAATTTTAATATATAAAATATGTAAATAGAAACGTGGAAAATTAATCAAGGAACCATTCGGCTGGTTAACTACTGAGCATTCACAGTAGTTCTCATCTGAGAGAGAATGGGAACTTTTCCTTTGTTACAGCTGCAGCCCTACTGTCTGTTGAGCATGTAATAGTTACTCAATAAATACATATTTACTGAATTGATGAATAAATAAAGGAAGGAACTTTTGATGAGATGACTCACAGCAACTCTACTTTGCTAAAAAACTCTAGTTTGTAAATCTCTAGTTTGAAAATGAAGACTTGTGTAGCTGGCTATTAAACTTTTTGTTTTTTTAAAGTGGAAACACTTCATAGTATTTATTACCTTATATTCTCTTTAAATTATCATAGGTCTAGAAACAGCAGTGTTTTGTGCCATGGTCAGCAGATCAAGAACTAGACTGTTAGAGCAATAGATGAGCTATTTTCTAATGCACAATTGGTAGTACGTAATGCCAAGTCTTCCAAGTTTTGTGATTTCAGCTGCTCTACTTCAGTGGTTCACAGAAAGCAGCACCTTGAAAACAAGCTAGTGCTGTTAGTAACTTTCATATCCTCATTCCATCTAGATTCAGAAGCTTCAATATTATTTAAATTAAAAAAATTTTCAAAGTAAATCCAAATAAGGAGTATCTAAGACAAGTAGATATTAATAAGAAGTCATTCAGTAACTTGATGTGTATGTAGAAACTAACAGACTTCTATCACCAAAAAAAAAAACCTGCCCATTTTAAATGGAAAGGAGATTATTTGGGGTTGCAAATATCATTGACTCCTCAGTGTGAAACTTCACTCCCCCATGATGCAACACCAACAACAGACTTTAAAAATAGACTGCTGCAATGAGATGGAACCTGTGGCATCCCCTTGAAATATAGAGGTGGATGAAAAGTTTCCTTCAAAAATGTCACTTTGCAGAGTGGGCTGTCTTGAAATCAGCCCAGAATTTCTCTTTAAGGAAAACTGTGGGGGAGATTTGCTGTCTGTGGTGAGTGGCATCATGGGCTATTGATCATTAAAAATTAACTTGAGCAATTGCTGTGGATAAACACAAGAAACGTGCCTGCCTGCCTGCCTGCCTGCCTGCCTGCCTTCCTGCTTTCCTGCCTTCCTGCCTTCCTGCCTCCCTGCCTCCCTGCCTCCCTGCCTCCCTTCCCTTCCCTTCCTTGCTTCCTTCCCTCCCTTCCCTTCCCTTTCCCCTTCCCCTTCCCCTTCCCCTTCTCCTTCTCCTTCCCCTTCCCTTTCTTCCCTTCTTCTTCTTTCCTTCTCAAATATTTAGGTTAAATATGATTTTGGAGTATAATTCTATATATTTAAAAACATATTAAATTTTCCAAATATTGGTGTGACTAGAATATTAATTTCTATCAAATGAGGAAAGTGTTACAGAGAAAAATTATATCTCTAGTGTCATTCAAAGGAAAGTAATCATGGAGGCTTAAATCTTATGTTTAACTGGAATGAATTCTTAAATAGTAGCAATTATAATATAAATGAAATTTTGTATTTGTTTTTCTTTTTTAGTATTGCATCAGGACTCCCTTCACCTATCCTCATCATTTAATTTTGTGACATAAGTCCTGTACTTACAAACCATCTTGAGTCTTTTTTCCCACGTTATGCTCAAGCAGTTTTTATGTAGCTTGTCACCAATACTTGTATTCATTTGCTCAAGTTTGAAAAAAAATGAGTGATGCATATGTTTTAAAGGCATTATAGTATTGATTGTACTCTGCAAACACAGAAATTTTTGGATAAATACTGAAAAGTGATTGACTTTAAAGTCAGCTTTTTAAAAGCTGTAGATACCATGACTATTTGTAGCTTTTCTTAACCATTATTTCATGAAACAACATAATTGAAACCATGTGATTAACATTTCTAAATATACATATGATTTACCATAAACATTTTCTTTCCTTAAGTTGAAAAAAATTACATTTACTATTAATGTAAAGCAATATTGAAAATCAATGTAAAATCATATTGTGGAAAAAGATGATTATATAGCCTATTTCAAGGTCTTTCACCGACATAGTTTATGTTTATTTTTTAATTATTATTATTATTTTTTATAGAGACAGGGTCTCACTATGTTGCTCCTGGGCACAACTGGTCCTCCTGCCTTGGCCTCCCAAAGTGCTAGAGTTACAGGTGTGGGCCATCACGCCCAGCCTGTATTATTAAAATGAAATGATTTTTGAAATATAGTACATAAAGCATTACTTTTGACAATAATCGTGAAGTTAATTAAATGCTGCTTACCTCCTGTCCATCAAAAGTCTGTATGAGAGATGAACATTTTTCAGCACTTCCACTTCTGTCGAAGGGATATCTTTGAGTTGTTTCTGTTAAAATAGCTCTTTCTGGAAACAGTGTGTTTAAGAAATGTTTTATTTTGTTTTAGACTCTTTTGTTGCTTTAAAAAGTAGTTTCCAGTGTAATGCTTGGCATGGGAGTTGGTGCTGGGCTGCCTGTAATTGCTGCTTTGTCTCTTTCAGGAAGTGCTCTCTGAAATAGGCTTTTTCACCTTATGACTTTACCCTGGATGTGGTTTTTCTCTCTCACAAATGATTTGTTTATGAAGTCACACTTAGCATAAATTCCCCTTGAAATGATGGCATATATTTAAGAGAATTATATACAAAGGACGAAGTTTCTTCAGTTTGTGTACTTTGATGCTTAAAGTCTGCATCATCTATGGAAAGAGAAGGAGATTTGATATTGAGTAAAAGGGGGTTTAAAGTCTAGCTTCTTTGCTTTTCTAAGCTGTGTGACTTTGTCTAGTTACCTGCCCACTTTGACTAACCCTTTGTTCCTACTTCATTTCTGTACAGTTGAAATAGAGAGAATACCATCCAGCAGGATTGTGAGGGCCCTAAACCAGAAAGGTCCCAAGTGCTTAACGTAGTACCTGGCACTTAGTAGGTAATCCTAAATGGAGTCTCACTTTTTACTACCAAGTTCTTAAAAATCATAGAATATCCACATTTCCACTTTTTACTATTTAAACAATTCTAAATGTTTAAAAGTAGGATCCTTGATTATTTGCTTCTGCTTTGCCACATACATTTATCCACTTTAGTTTGCTGTATTTTGTAAGTCTGCTTTTCTAGTGCATGGAAGTCTAGAAATAATTTCTTTTGCATAAAAATTTCTGCAAATCTTAACAGAAAGGACTCTGAAGTCTTTAGTGGACCGATTTACATATTAGGAGTGTTTTCACCTAAGAAGGGAAATGAAACCAGCAGAAAGGGAAGTGAGCAACGAATCACTGCCTGCCTTGTTAGGTTAATTTTTTTTTACTTTCTCATTTCTTAAAAAAATTTATCCTCTCATTTGCTTATCCTAAAATTTTAATTATCTTTATATTTGGTTTGCATGGTTTGTCAACTTTTAAAAGGTTCATGAACTTAAATATATTTGTTTTTTGAATTTTAGACAGTTTGGGGTCCATCTTTTTTTTTTTTTTTCCTCAGACAAAACCATAGTAAGTCTGTGGCTTAGAAAAGTTACTTAAATCCTTGTCTCTGGTGATAAAATACTTTTGATATTTTATCAAATCGCAATGCCAGAATGATGGGTTTTAGCAGTATTGGAGACAACCATAGCAACTATTTCTTGTGTGGATGAAGAAATTGAAGACCAGTTCCTTGCTTAAGAACTCAGGGTAAAGCCAGGCCTAGTTTCTCCCACTGTAATAACTTCTTCCAAGGTGATTATATTGATCTGTCCACTAGATATGACTTCTTATGGCTGAATTACGTTCATCAATTTTTTATATGTGATGTTACATTTCATACATCACACAAGAGTTTGATATTTCAGCTGGACAGAAATCTGCCTGCCTGCAGACCTAATCTGTCCTTTGCCTTATTCACATAGCTTACTACTTTTCTAAAATTAAGTATTGATTAGCTTCCCCATTGCTGCTAAAATCAACAGATACATTGATGGCATGTGTCTAGAAGAGTCCTCTCATCAAGACTTGAGTTCTTCATGGTACACAGGGGCATTCTTGTTTCTGAATTGCCAGGCCCTTAGAGGAGGCATCCGGGAGACCTGAGGGCTCTCCATAGGCCTGGCTTCAGGTTGGGGTGAACTCTCACTTTTTCCTCATCTCACTCTCCATTCCAGCCCTCTGGACTGGCTACATTTGCTCTTCCTGCCTCTCACATGCTCTTCCACCCACTGTGGCATTCCTTACCACTGTCTCCCACCTGATGGCGTGGCCTGCTTCTCTTTATTCTTGTAACTACCTTCTCCAGGAAGCTTTCTCTGCCATCCGAAGCTGGGCTGGTCATTCATCCCTACAGGTTTCCTTAGCACTTGGTACCTATCCCTGTAGTGGCACATGTTTGCATTGTTACTGCATATTTACTTGCTTTTTCTCCTCCACTAAATTGCATTCCTTGAGAGTTGGCATGTGTTGCATATGTGTGTAGAGAAGAGGCATTTCATATTGGTTGAATTTCTGACTGAACAAGTAGGTGAAGAAATGGAGAGGTTGGGGGAGGAATGGATAAATGTCTGGGTCTCGAGTCAGCAGGCAGGGACACTTTGACTAGCTTATGAGATGGGGAGACTTAGGCAAGGGCCTGAGGCCTGTAGTCTTCCCTGGCAACCCATGAGCCCTGTAGCATTGACCCCGATTTTCTGTGCTCCTGGATCTTCGAAATGGTTTTGTGTTGGCAGGGAGTTATCATGAAAAGAAACTGCCCAAATCATTTGACAGTAAGTAAACAATGAGTCAAGCATTCAACTTGTATGGTGTAGACACAAGTTTCTTTAACACTTGAACGTAATGATTTTTTTCTTTTTTCTTTCCAAACAGAGGAACTTATTCAGGCACCATTCATGTGGCTTTTTTTCACTTACTTTGGAATATGAGTGAAAGAGAAATTTTTCACTTGCAAAAGAGGATTTTACTTATTCCCAGAGACTGCAAGATTCCCTTTGCTTTATCAAATAATGTGTTTTAGCTGCAGTTTTGGGTTTTGGTTTCAATATTAAAAGCCATAAGGGAATTTTGATTTTAGCACTAGAAACCAGTTTTTGAGTGAATATAATTCAGTTAAGCCAGTTTTTAATGAGAAAGCATGTAGTTAATAGATCTGTATAGCAAATTCCCACTATAAAACATGCTTCTATATTAGACATTTGTCTATGCCACAGGTAAAATAATATTTCCTGTTCTGTTAGCATAGCAAGTGTGAGGGCAGCTTATCCTTGTTGCCTCCCATCAGTGCAGGGAGCAGGGGTCCACTGTTGTTACTGTTCATGTATCCCAGCATGGGGACAGTCAGCACACAGCCAGTCCCCAGGGAGAAGAGGGTGTGAGGCAGACAAAGAGTGCTCTGAACTAGAGGAGAGGCTTATCCTTTAGCCTTGACATCCTCCAATCTTTGTCCCCTCCTTTCTGTTTCTCAAACTTGTATCTCAACTGACTGCTCTTTTGGTGCAGGTGTAGGGGAGATATGTTGAATAGTAAGAGTTTCTGGGTAAAGAAGATTGAGAAACTATTTGTCTGAATGTGTGGTTTTTCTTAAGTCCCAACAATTTACAGCTATAATCTTCTAACCCAGTTAGTATACCTCCTCTCTATTTGGTTTCCTAAATTGTATTGTAAATTTAATATTCCCAAATTTCTTGTCTTTAGCAATTTTTGTGTGTAGTTTTAAAGATCTGTAGACATGTAGACGTTCAGACACTTACCTCACAGCAAACAAGTTGAACCCAGATCTAACCATATATAAGTGATGGCAGTGAAATCAGTCCTGGAGCCACTGAAGTCCTATGGGACCCCAGGCCAAGAGTCTGCAATGTGACATTGTACTGTCGGAACAGAGATCCAGAGTCGCCAAGGCAGCAGATTGAGTAGAACTCCGTGGTTATTGTGAGGCACACAACCTTCCACTGCACATTCTGATCTCATAGTTACCAGAGGTGCAAATGGAAATGGGTATACAGTAGTCCCCTCTTGCACAATTTTGCTGTCTGAGGCTTCAGTTACCTTCAGTCAATTGTGGTCTGAAAATATTAAATGGAAAATTCTAGAAATAAACAATTCGTAAGTTTTCAGTCGCATGCCTTTCTGAGCAGCATGATGAAATCTCTCACTGTCCTGCTCCTTCCTCCCCAGGACATGAGTCCTCCCTTTGTCCAGTGTCTCCACACTGTAGACATTCCCACCCATTAGTCACTTTCATAGCCACCTTGGTGATCAGGCTCACTGTCATGGTGTCACAGTGCTTGTATTCCAGTAACCTTTATTTTACTTAATAATAGTACCAAAACACAAGGGTACTAAGCCTAATGCATAAGTTAAACTTTATCATAGGTACATATGTACAGGAAAAAAATAGTAAGTATAGGGTTTGGTACTATCTGCAGTTTCAGGCATCCACTGAAGGTCTCAGAATGTATCCCCTGAGAATAAGGGGGAACCACTGTATATTTAACACCTAGTAATATGAGGAAGTGCATTTCAGAAGAAAGAGGAGGGCGGGGCGCGGGGGCTCATGCCTGTAATCCCAGTACTTTGGGAGGCTGAGGTGAGTGGATCACCTGAGGTCAGGAGTTCGAGACCAGCCTGGCCAACATGGCAAAACCCTGTCTCTACTAAAAATCCAAAAGTTAGCTGGGCATGGTGGTGTGTGCCTATAATCCCAGCTACTCAAGAGGCTGAGGCAGGAGAATTGCTTGAACCTGGGAAGTGGAGGTTGCAGTGAGCCAAGATCGCAGTGAGCTGAGACTAGACTCCGGTCTAGGTGACAGAGCAGGACTCCATCTCAAAAAAAAAAGGACTTGTGGCGGGTCAGAATTGGTAAAGGAACAAAAGATGTGTTATCAGGTTATTTAAACACAAACCTATATAACAGTGTGTGTGGTTGATGATTTTAGTACACAGCCATCTGTATAGTAAAAGTAACCATGTACCTGTAAGGTTGAGGGTTGTTGGTTTAAGACAAGTTACTTAGGATTTTTTATAATCTCTGCCATTATTCTTACCTAAATTATGAAAGGTAATCAGAGGTGACCGTCAGGCATGATTCTGAGAGCCTCACATGCTTGAGCTAATTTAATCTTCATGCCGACTCTAAAGTATGTAGTTTACATGGTGTGACCCAGAAATATTTACTCATGACTCTCAGAGTGTATGTTCTTTCTGTATTTTGCATTATGATATTATACTTTATTTTAGTAATTATTGTTGAAGTTGGCCCTACTTAATAGAGAATCATCATAAATGGTAATTTGACTTATAGCAAACAGTCTCCTGAGGGAATAGGCCATCTTTTTATCTCCCTGTTTCGTGCTAATGAGTTGATATTCTCAAGGAAAGGTTTTATAGCTGGATTCTGGCAGCTTGTACATGTTAATTGTGGTGTCTGGGATCTCTGCCATTTAGTGGCCAAAAGACTTGAACAAGCACTCAAGAATGAGTAGATCCAAATGGTCAGCAACATGTAAGTCTGCTCAACCTTTTATTAGTAATTGGGAAAATGAAAATTAAAACCACAGTAAGGTATTAGCCATTCGCCAGCATGTCTACGATGAAAAAGACAGATAATGCAAAGTGGTGGCAAGGATGTTGAGTGATGAGGATATCGAGTAACAAGGAACATTGCTGGTGGGAGTTTAAACATGGAAAACGGTTTAATATTAAGTATTAAAGTGAAGATACCAACACTCCATGACTCAGAGTCCACTTCTAGGTCTATAACCAGGCAAAACACATGCTGCGTACCAGGAGACATGGACAAGAATGTTCACGGTAACATTATTTACAACAACTCCAAATTAGGAACAACCTGAATGTTCACCAACTGTAGAATGAATAAGTCACTTGTGGTGTAGGCATAGAGTGGAGTGCCAGTCACAATCACAATTGATGATAGATAGAGCAGATACAACAGCATGGATGAATTTCATGAATCTAGTGTTAAGTTGAAAAAGCCAGACATGAAGGAATTCATATCATATGATTCCATTTGTATAAATTTCAAAAAGCAGACGAAATGAAAATACAGTGCTTAGGAATTCATGCTTAGGTGGTAAACCTTTTGGGTGGGGTGTGGGCATGTGTAATAGTAAGGAAGGGGCCCCCATCATCTGCACAGCAGGATCTTGGAGCTGTTGCTTTTCTTACCCTCACCACCCTTAGGCCCAAAGAGATCAAGGGAGGGAGAAATTACTAGAACTTGGAAGGAGAGACTCCAGTCAAGTCAGCTGCCTTGGAGCAGTGCTTTTCTTTTGAGAGACGGTAAGCCTGAGGTTCCCTTACAGGAAGGAACCAGGGAAATAAACACCCTGACCTCAGGTTCCTCTTGGCCTAAATCTCCCCTGAGGCTCCTGTTAGCAGGACTTAGCTGGAAGCCAGGGGGCCATGAGCCTTTGCATGGTGTTTGGACCCACCAGCCTCTGGGACAGAGAACAGGCTAGGGAAGGGAAAAGAAGCAAATGGATTTTCTGGCATGCTGCACTTTTCTATATATGTGTTACCTTTCCTGTTCAAAAACTGTCTTATAGCTTGTGTGAAGTCCATGCTGTAGACACTAAGTACTAGTTCTCTCGGCCTCGTTTGTCCCCTTTTTTTCTTTGTAGCATGTTTATATTTTTCCTGTCTTTAGACTGGGACTGGATAGCTGTGCAGGAGCCCAGTCTGTGCCACTATTGACCACGTTGTCTTAACCCTGTTAGCTCATTTCTCTGATGGTCTCTCTCCCTAGGGGAAGTTGGGTGAGGCCTTCTTTTAGGGGTCATCCACTTCCAGCCTTGTGTAATTTGAAGGCATTCCTCTCCCCAACTCTTTCCATTGCAGAGAGTATTTATTTACCTTTGGTGTTCCTCTGAATTTCTGTAAGACTGTGGATAGGAGCCGGCAGGAGTCTGCATGGAAGCCTAAATGTGTCCAGGATTCATTTCCTGAGTCTTCATCCCAGGGAGGAAAACCAAGAATATGTCTGCTGAAGTTTGGGCCTACTCTAAATGCAAAGCACTCAGTCCCCTGATGGGGTCACTTTAGTTCCTGATCTTTGCCATCTTTTATTATTATTATTATTATTATTTTATTGTTCTTCAGCATGTATGTCTACCTCTTGAAGACATTATAATCAACCTACAGAGGAAGACATGTTATTTTTTCCTTGGTAATAAAACTGCATTGATTTTGGTTACTCAGACGAGGTGTTTACCAGAACTCTCCCTTGTATGCTTATAAAATAAAACTAGTGCTCCATTCAGTTGAATATTTGCAGCAATATTATCTTCTTATTGCTAATATTATTTGTATGGGTAGACTTTATGAGAAGTTTGTGATTTTCAGCTCATACAGCCTCTTGCGCTCAGCAAGCCACACAGTCTAGAGGGAATCTTAACAGAGAAGGGAAGGAAGGAGGCAGGCAGGACCACCCTGAGACCCCCAGGCCAGCTGCTGCTGTGCTTCTTTGGAATGAAGGGTCTCAGACCCTTGGCTTACATCTTTCTGCCTCTGGTGTAGGGTTTGCTCTTCTAACATGAACGGAACATTTGATTTAGGATCAGTAACTACAGGTTTTAGAACTGGAGTTTGAAGTATCTGTGACACATCTCTCTTTGACAGTCGTGTGGGTACTGATCCCTCATTGCACTTTCACCCCTTTTCTTCTTGTTCTCGTTTTGTGTGTGTCTTGTGAACAAGGACCTGGCACGTGCATCTTCAAACGTTTCAGGATATCTAGAGTAGTGCTTCACCCAGCAGGCCCTCAGTTAACAGGCATATGGATTCAACTGGTGTTTGTGTTTTTCTGTAAGAAAGGTTATGCCATGTCTCAAAAAATGAATGGCTAATGTTTCTAGGTAGATACAATCACAAAGACATATCAAATAAAATAATGAGGCAAAAAGAAATAGGTAGATTGGGATTGGCTGTGTAGAGGTTTTAAAGTGAAAGTGGGCAAGTTAAAAAGGTTTTGTATCAGAGAAGCTAGTTGCAATTTATTGAATGTAGGAGTACTCACACAGTTTATTTGAACATGAAATAGATCTAGATTTCTTACGTATGGTCTCCAGTTTTCCATACCGATTGATAGCTCAGGGCTGCTTTGACATAAATACTGTGCTTCTACTGCCACCTACAGATGATTAGTGGTCTTGGAGCTCTTTACCCGTTCTAAAGTCTTTTCAAAATTGAAATAAATTTTTTCAAAAGCTGTTAGTTGGTGGAATATTATAAAATATTTTAATGTTACTTTATGAATATTTCTATATTATGTTACATAATACTATATAACATATAGTTTTATATAATAGATATGAACTTATTCCTGTAAAGCAAGGTGGCCAATCTTTTGGCTTCCCTGGGCCACATAGGGAGAACTGTCTTGGGCCACACATAAAATACACTAACACTAATGATAGCTGATGATCAAAAAAAATCGTGAAAAAAACTCATAATATTTTAAGAAAGGTTACTAATTTGTGTTGGACTGCATTCAAAGCTGTCCTGGGCCCATGTGGCCCCAGGGCTGCAGCTTGGACAAGCTTACTCTGAAACATTTTGGCTTGTAGACCATTTTCTGCCCTCTTTGGAAGCATCCTCTTTTTTAGGAAACAGTTTTCCTCTGTAGGACTATGTGTATTCCTGGGTTAGGGCCTTGAGAAGATTCTATTTTTACTCTTATTTGTATCTGATATTATACTAAGATATTAAACATAAATGTGGCCTTAGAACAAATTAGACATGTTAAAAAATACATATATATATTAGAAAATTTATCATCTTAACCATGTTTAAATGTGCAGGTTAGTAGTGTTAAGTTCATTCACATTGTTGTGTAGCCAATCTCCAGGACATTTTTGTCTACCCAGACTGAAAGCCTGTATCCATCATACAGCAAATATCTCTTCAGTCCCTACTTTCAGTTCTTTTGGGTTATATCCCTGAAAGTGAAATTGCCAGATCATGTGGTAATTCTGGTTTTAGTTTGTTGGGGAACGGCTGTACTGTTTTCCCCAGCAGCTGCACCAGCAACACAATGCCCAGTTTCTCCCTATCTTGACTCAACACGCATACCTCTCTCGCGCTTGCCCTTCCCTCCCGTCCCTCCCCTCCCTCCCTTCCTTTCCGGTAGTAGCCATCCTCATGGGCATAAGGTGGTATCTCACGGTGGTTTCATTTCCATTTCTGATGATGAGTGACTTCGAGAATCTTTTCATGGGTTTCTTGGCCATTTATATTTCTTCTTTAGATAAATGCCTATTCAAGTTCTTTGCCCATTTGTTAATCGGGTTGTTTGTTTCTTGGTCGTTGAGTTGTAGGAGCTCTTTATGTAATCTAGATGTTAACCCCTTATCAGATGATTTGCAAATATTTTTCTCTTATTCCATAGGGTGCCTCTTTTCTTTGTTGATTGTGTCCTTTGATGCAATTTTTGGAGCATATTTTAGGCCTGCTCATTTATCATATACTAATGATAAGGATGAATATCATAACTTTGGATTTCTAAATGGTGAGGGGAAGTGAGGGGAAGTTATCCTGAGTAAAATCAATGAGTCATTTTGGAAC